GAAAGCTCTCGAGATGTGCTATAAGAATATGCAATGAAAAATGGGGTGTTCCATTTAAAAAAATTAATGTGACCTTGACCTGACCTTCGCTACGCAACCCAAGGTCAAACTGATGTGATCAGTAAATACATCTTTTTAAACGCCACAACTTTTGTCTGAAACATTTTTTTGTAAAACTTATATTTTTCCTGATATTCGAGCGTCCCGGTACTTTCCGAACACCCTGTATATAGACATTTTGTGGTGAGCTGTACTTGTTAATTGCCTCTTGTACATATTTTCTTATACTGCAAGATAAGAACTTAATTCTAATGACATCATGTGCAATGTATTATATGAGATATGAACGTAAACAGATATTAATTTGCTTATATAACAAAAGCAACATTTGGGTAGGGTTTACCTCTTCCCTTTATATTTAAATCGATCTCGAAACAAAATTCATCTAACGTGTGACACTCTGTCGATTTATTTTATATATATTCATTTTTAAACCATGTATATTTAAATAAGTTATGAAATAGTTTTGAAACCTGGACAACGAGATGTGTTGCGTGCGTGTGCGGGTGTGTATGTGTGTGTCAGAAAATTTTTTAATGAAATTTTTTCATAATCTGAAACCTGTATACGTCTAATGGCTTTATGTCTCTTTCTAAGACGATACAAAAATTCGAAGTCGTCTATAAACTTTGGTTGTGGATGCAAAAGGTCTGACATTGATAGATCTTACTGTTTGGAATTTGAATAATGATAAATTTGTCTAAATAGTCTAATAAAATTACACTTTAAGGCTTAAAGTAAAGGGCATATGTACATAGCTTAAAGTTTAAGCTATGCACATATGCTGCTATTGTTATGATTCATATACTAGTAATTAGTTACTGGCTAGTTTTAATTATTGTTATATTTTATGTAGTTGTACATACTGATTTGCTTAAATAATTGAAAGCTATATAAAATTTATATTAATAATAATTTAGAAAGTTTTTTTGCATTTTATGTTTTAATTATATGTTAATAAATATATTGCATTTTATAAAACCATTTCACAAATTGATTCGTCAAATTCTTTTTAATAGAACACACATAAGTTGATTATAATGTATGAGAAGAAATGTATAAAATGGTAAATATTTTATCATTATAATTAGGGAAAAAAATTCTTTTTTGTTGTGTGGAGCCTAGATACAATAAAATAAAATAAGTGGGGATGGCTATGTCCGAAATGGTTGACCTAGTAAACAAAGTTATGTTAATATTACATAAATGCAATATACCGGATGTTACAATATTGCATAAGTATTTCCGGTAAGTTACTGGTTAGTTATAATTTCCTACTCATCAGTATAACACGTAACAAAATGATGATACCGCAAGTAACGGTAACGGTAACGCGTTACTTTTAAAAAGTAACGTTCCCAACCCTGGCAAAATGTCTAACATTGATAGACATTGCTGTTTGCAACTTGGATGATGATAAGCCTGTTCACTGTTTGTACTTTCTTCACAACATTGATTTTTGTAGTAATATTAAACAGATATAACAAGTAATATAACATTAATTATATAAATGTTATAAAAATGTCACACATAGGTTGGCGATACTATTTTGAAAGCGTGAGCACGCCGTCTGCAATTGCGCACAGTCCATTTTCGTGAATGCCGTTTCAATAGCAGCCTGAAGGGAGGCTACGTTGGGGTGTCTAACTTTGTTAATAACCCTCTCGACTACGCCCCCTACGTAGTAGTCGAGAGGGTTTAAGTCGGGACTATTTGGAAGCCAGAAATCCTTCGACCAAAGTATCTCGATATTGTCCGAGAGCTAGTTTTACACTAAGTGACTCGTATGAGCAGGTGCGCCGTCTTGTTGGAAGATATACGGTCTTCCTACAGCCATTTACTCCACCCAAGTCTTCATTGTAGTCCTCAGGATCTCCACATAAACGTCCTTCGTAACCATTTCCTCCTTCTTGAAATGCGGTAGCATGACGTCGTCCTCACTCGACGTTTAGGACGTAGACACTTGGCCGGAAACTTGTTCCTGGTCAACAGGAGCACGTTCACGGGGTCGTGTACGAGCCAACAATCATTCCTCTGGTTCACTTTGGCATCCACGTTGAAAATCTTCTTGTCAGAGAAAAACTTGATATGGCCAGCAGCTTCAGTAAACACATGAGCAAGTTGCAGCGGACAAGTCTCTTAGCCTTGGCGACCTCGGAGGGCATCAGTCGGACCTTGAGGACGTAGGACTTGTATTTGAGGTCCTCTTGAACGATCCGACGAACGGTGGTATCGCTCATCTCCAAGACGGCCGTTAATTTTGCGAGTGAAGTCCCTGGGTCTTTCGAAATAAGCTCTTGTGCTTTTCGAACGAGTTCCGGAGTCCGTATCGCTTTCTCCCTTACGTGTATTTTCCGGGTGTATATCAGTTGGACACGGAGCAATTGGACACAGTCCAATCACAAGTCGCTGTTCCAAGGGACCCTACAAATGTCTCTAATCACACGGTGCTGTGATTGGCTGTGTCCAAATGCACCGTGTCCAAGTGCACCGCTCCCGTATTTTCCTCGTTGAAGTACAAGAGCCCACCTCGGACTCCTCCGAGGCCACGTACTTCTGGACAATGCCATGCACCGTCGACCTAAGATATCCGAAGAATTTAATTATTTCGCTTGGCGTCCTTCCGGCACGGACCTTCAATAACCGCCGCTTTTCGGTTATATTCCGATATTTCGGACATGGCCATCTCCACTCCTTTTATTTTATTGCATCTAGGCTCCCCACAACAAAAAAGAATTTTTTCCTAATTATAATTATAGAGTACTTACTACTCTATAACTTTTTCTCATACATTGTAACCAACTTATGCGTGTTTTAAAAGGAATTTAACGAATTAATTAGTAAAATTGTTTTAAAAAATGCAACTTTCTAAATTATTATTAATATAAGTTTTAGACAGCTTTCAATTATTTAAGCAAATCAGTATGTACTTACAATTACATGAAATATAAAAATAATTAAATCTAATCAATAACAAATCAATAATATATGTATCATAACAACAATAGCATTTACACATAGCTTAAAGTGTTATTTTATTAGATAGGTTATATTATTTTGACAGATTTATCATTATACAAGTTCCAAACAGTAAGATTTATCAATGTTAGACCTTTTGCGTCAACAACCAAAGTTTATACTGACGACTTTGGATTTTCGTATCGTCTAGAGAAATAAAGTCATTAGACATATACATAGTTTCAGATAAGGAAAAAATTTTATTAAAAAGTTTTCTGATACGCACACTATTATGTTAAATCTTGCAAGTATTCTCCATCCTAGAAATAATATGTTGACATTGCAGTTATTAATGCATCACACACACACACACACACACACACACACACACACACACACGCACGCACGCACGCACGCACACAACACACACACACATCTTCAAAATTCATTTAAATATACATGGTTTGAAAATGTATTTGTACAAAATAAATCAACAGAGTTTCACACAGAGTTAGGTGAATTTTGTTTCGAAAACGAATCCAATATAAATTGAGGAAATAAAGCACATATAAATGTTGTTATTGTTATATAAGCAAATTAATCTCTATTTATGTTGATATCTTATATAATACTTTGCATATGATGTCATTAGAATTAAGTTATTATCATCTTGCGAAATAAGAAAACAAGTACAAGAGGCAGTTATTGAGTACAACTCAATTATTATAAAAAATAAAAATACCTTTTTTTCGAGGGATGGCTTCACCCCCCTAAATCCAAATTTAGCAGAAACAAGAAATAGTTTTATATTATGAATATTACTTTACTTGCACACAATGTTTCAGAATTTTTTGAATTTATGGATTTCCTTGTTAGTAACGATACTTCAAATCACCTCGCCTTTGTATTCAAACAGCTCCTGGTTCGTCAATTTTTCGATGTCCTTCTTCTAACTTCACACAAATATTTTTAAATGTATATATTTTAAAAATATGCCATAAAAAAGAATGGCCAAAACATTTTTTGGTAAATATTAACAAAAACGGACCACCTTTCGAGGACGATGACCTTCAGATATGTTGTCAAGCTTATCCTGAGTAACATTCAAAAGGTTTTAGTCGTCGCTCGTTGTTCATTAAAAAATTATTAACTTTAAAAAAAAACTTTTTAAAATTATTTACTTCTAGGGATTTAAATCTAGGGATAATTATAACTATTTGAAATTTTTTGTGCGTGTATGTTTGAATTTTTGTAAATTTATCATATGCATCTTTTTTATGTTTCAGAATGCACATTAACTCGATTTTTTTCCTTGCAATATGGATGACGTCGGTTGCGGAAGAATTGCCCGTCAACAATGTTCAACCTACTAAACAGACGTCCTTAAGGTTCCCAGAAATACGAGAGAAAAAATATCCTATATCTTTGGAATATGGTGACTTTTCTAAAAGAGCACAAATTGGTTTTCAGGTGAAATAAATATAAAGCATTTTTAAAATTTTCCTTTGTCTTATTTCTCTAAATTTTTATAAAAAATGGATAATTTTACAATTTTACATTTGCAGAATATGCGCGGTAATAAATATTTCATCACGCCAAATGTTGATGAAGATTTCTCACACGATGAGTTCGAGAAGCGTGCATCGATGGGATTTCAGGGAATGAGAGGAAAAAAAGATTATTTAACATCTGATTTCAAAGATTTCTACTTACACAATGACTACAAAAAAAAAGCACTAATGGGTTTCCAGGGAATGAGAGGAAAGAAAGTAGTGTCGGAAGACGGATATTATAAACGTGCTCCCATGGGTTTTCAAGGAATGCGAGGAAAAAAATCTATGGAAGAAGTAAGTACTGAATATCGTTCAAACATATAATCGAATTATTATAATGAAAGAGTTCGGCCATAACGAAAAATGCTTCTAATTTATGAGATTCACTTTGATTGGTGTTGTGTAAAGTAGATTTTATAAATAATGAACTCAGTCTACTTTTGCTGCATATCGTATCATTTGTTAATTTATTTTTCAAAGAAAGTAGAAGAAATCTCTCTCTCCAAAACAATTATCATTTTTTGTGTCATTCCAACAAACAAAATAATATAATAGTTACATTGCTGTAATATAATATAAGGTGTAGTAAAAAGAAATCCATTATTTTTGCATGAAATTAAAGGCTTTATTTAACATAGTTAGAATGATCCGATTTAGGTCAAATATGCACCATTTTGTTCGATAACTTGTTGCCATTTTAAAGGTAATTCCATTATGCTTCTCTCATAGAAACCCTAGTCCTTATTGGCAAAAAACTGGGACAGTCGATTTTCACAAGCTTCTCTTGAGGCGAATTTTTCACCAGCAAAATCATTCGCCATAGACAGGAACAGGTGGTAATCACTTGGTGCCAGGTCCGGACTATAAGGTGGATGCATAAGAACCTCCCAACTAAGCTCCCGGAACTTCTGGCGAGTCACTATCGATATGTGTAGCCTGGCGGTGTCCTGATGGAACACAATTCCTCTCCTATTGGCCAAAGCTGGCCGCTTCTGGGCGATTGATTCCTTCAGACGGTTCAATTGTTGACAGTACAAGTCCGAATTAAGAGTTTGGCCGTAGGGGAGCAGCTCATAGTGGATGATTCCCTACCAATCCCACCAAACACACAGCAAAGCCTTCCTGACCGTCAATCCTGGCTTGGCCACCGTTTGCACCGGTTCACCGCGTTTCGACCATGACCGTTTTCGCTTGACGTTGTCGTAAGTGACCCACTTTTCATCACCAGTCACCATCCGCTGCAGAAATGGGTCGATTTTGTTGCGATTCAGCAGCGATT